TACTGATCTATACTGGTCTGTGCTGGTCTGTGCTGGTCCATGCTGGTCTATACTGGTCTGTGCTGGTCTGTGTTGGTCCGTGCCGGTCTGTGCTGGTCTGTACTGGTCTGTACTGGCCTGTGCCAGTCTGTTCTGGTCTGTACCGGTCTATACTCGTCTGTGCTTGTCCATGCCGGTCCGTGCTGGTCTGTGCTGCTCTATATTGGCCTACATTAGCCTGTACTGGCTGATGCTGCTCGTACCATCCCACACTGGTCCATACTGGCCGTACTGGTCCTTACCCGGATGTGGGCGGAGCCCGGCGCTGCCCGGGGGCGGAGCCTGCGCTTGGCGCCCCCTGCTGGATCCTCCTCTGGGGGCGAGGTCGCCGCTGAGCCCCGCCCATTTCCTTTTATGGACATCGGGGGCGTGGCTTCTCCTGGCCCCGCCCCCTCTTGTACCTGCCCCCGCTGTGGGCGGGGCTTGGCTGGGGGGCGGGGCTTGGAGCCCCCATCGTGCCTCTTCTGTGTGGGGGCGGGGCCACGAGAGGCTCCGCCCCCTCCGCTCTCAGCCAATCGCCGACTGCGCCGCACCTGGGGATGGGGACCCCAAAATCCAAAGGGAACCCCCAAAAAATTCACAGGGTACCCCCCCAAAATCCCCCCAGGAACCCTCAAAATCCACCTGCCACCCCCAAAATGCCCCGAATTCCACTGGGAACCTCCAAAATTCCACCTGGGGACCCCCCCAAAAATCACCCAGAACCCCCAAAAATTAACGCGAGACACCCCCAAACCACACTGGATCTCCCAAAATGCACCGGGCACCCCAAAAATGCACCAGGAACCCCAAAGCCCACTTGGGACCTCCCAAAATCCAAAAAATCCACCTGGACTCCCCCCCAAAATCCCTTTGGAGTACCCGGAATTGACCGGAGACCCCCTAAATCACCTGGAACCCCCCCAAATTCACCTGCAGGGTGAGTGGAGCTTCTGCTTCCTCCTGGGTGGGGCTTGGGGGATCCCCAACATCTGGATTTGGGGCCTCTTGCTCCACATCTGGAATTTGGGATTCCTCTGGGGCCGTTTTGGGGCTTTCCGGGCATCCCACAACTGGGTTGGGGGGCAGGAACAGCTGAGTGGCCACATCTGGATCGAGGTCAGGGCTCCCCAGCTCCTCCACATCTGGATTTGGGGTGTCCACCTCCACATCTGGAATTCTGGGGACTTTTGGGGCCGTTTGGGGTCTTTTTGAGGCTGCCACATCTGGATTTGGGTCTGCCTGCTCCACATCTGGATCAGCATCCCCCAGTAATGTCCTGTGGCTCCTCAGTGACTCCTCCACATCTGGATTCAGGCTCTCCAAATCCACATCTGGAACTTCAGGCGAGTTTAGGGGACTTTTGAGTGGTTTTGGGGACCCAGTATCTGGATCTGAGGGTCCTTCCCCCTCCACATCTGGATCAGGGGGCAGAAACAGCTGGGTGGCCACATCCAAGTCCTCCTCCACATCTGGATCTGGGTTCTCCGTCCTCACATCAGGAGTTTTGGGTTCATTTGAGGCCACTTTGTGTTGTTTTGGGCCCAGAACATCTGGATTTGGGCCAACCCCCACATCTGGATGTGGGGGCAGGAACATCTGCGTGGCCACATCTGGTTCCAAGGAGGGCAGCCCCTCCACATCTGGGATTTTGGGGTCCTTTGGGGCCATTTTGGGGCTTTCTGGGCTCCCAACATCTGGAGAGGGCAGGAACAGCTGGGTGGCTACATCTGGATCTGACTCCTCTTCCTTCTCCGTATCTGGAATTTCATGTAGCTTCTGGGTAATTTGGAGTTGTTTTGGGCTCCCAACATCTGGATCTGCCTCAGCCTCCCCCACATCTGGATTTGGGGGCAGGAACAGCTGGGTGGCCACATCAGGATCCCACCCTTCCTCTTCCTCCTCCACATCTGGAGTTTCAGCCACATTTTGGGTCCTTTGGTGCCTCCCAGCATCTGGATTTGGGGGGTTCAGCCCAACATCTGGCGTTTCGGGCACATTTTGGGTAATTTTCTGTCTTTTTGAGGGCCAAACATCGGGACAAGCCTCATCCTCCTCCACATCTGTGTCACTTTCCACCACCAAGGCTCCACATCTGGATTCAGAGCCTCCAACAGCTGGATTTGGAGATGGTGTGGGCACATCTGGAGATTCAGGTACATTTGGGGTCATTTTCCGTCTTTTTAAGGGCTGAACATCTGGACCTGTCTCATCGTCCTCCACATCTGTTTCGCTGTCCACCAGCAATGTCCCACAGCCCATTTTTCTGCCTGAAACATCTGGATTTGGTGTTTTCAGCCTCACATCTGGAGTTTCAGGCACGTTTGGGGCTGGTTTTAGTCTTTTTAGGCATCGAACATCTGGTTTTGCCTCCTCTTCCACATCTGTGTCGCTGTCATCCAGCAGCACTCTGTGCCTCTGGGAGCCCTCCACAGCTGGATTTGGGGGCTGTGTGGGCACATCTGGAGTTTGGAGCATGTTTTGAGGATTTTCCCATCTTTTTGAAGGACAAACATCTGGATTCCCTTCCTCCTCCTCCACATCTGTATCACTGTCCACCAGTAGTGCCTGACACCCATGTTTGGTCACTCCAGCATCTGGATTTGGGGTCTGTGTCACCACATCTGGACTTTCAGGCACATTTTGGGTCATTTCAAGCTTTTTTAGGGTTTCAACATATGGATCCTCCTCCACATCTGTGTCACTGCTGTCCACCAGCATCTGATACCTGATTGTGGGGCCTGAAACATCTGGATTTGGTGTCCCCCATTGCACATCTGGAGTTTCAGGCACATTCTGGGTCCTCCTGAGCCTTTTTGGGGGCTGCACATCTGCATCTTCCTCCACATCTGTGTCGCTGTCCACCACCAAGGTGTGATGACCAATTTTGGGCCTTTCTGCAGCTGGATTTGGGGTTTCCACCTCCACATCTGGAATTCTGGACACATTTTGGGTCCTCCTGAGCCTTTTTGGGGGCTGCATATCTGGATTCACTTCATCTTCCACATCTGTATCGCTGTCTACCAGCAGCATCCAGGAACGGAATTTTGGGTCTGAAACATCAAGATTTGGGGCTGCTGCTGCCACATCTGGCGTTTCAGGCACATTTTGGGTCATCCTGAGTTGTTTTGGGGGCCGCACATCTGGATTCTCCTCCTCCCCTTCCACATCTGTGTTGCTGTCCGCCAGCATTGTCCAGTGTCCAGTTTTGGGCGTTCCCACAGCTGGATTTGGGGTCTCCACTTCCACATCGGGAATTCCAGGCATGTTTTGGGTCACTTTGAGCCTTTTTTGGGGATCCTCTTCCACAACTGTGTCACTGCCCACCACCTGCATCCCACATCGCATTTTTGGGCCAGAAACATCTGGATTTGGGGTCTTTGCTACCACATCCGGAGTTTCTGGAACGCTTTGGGTCATTTTCAGTCGTTCTGGGGGCTCCACATCTGGATCAGCCTCCTCCTCCACATCTGTGTCACTCTCCACCTGCAGCATCCCACACCCATTTTTAAGCCATGGAACATCTGGATTTGGGATTTTCAGCCCCACATCTGGAGTTTCGAGCACATTTTGGGTCATTTTAAGATGTTTCGGGGACCCAACATCTGGATTTGGCCCCTCCTCCTCGACATCTGTGTCACTGTCCACCAGCAACATCTGGTGCCCATTTTTGGCCTGCAGGACATCTGTACTTGGAGTTTCTGCTGCCACATCTGGAGCCTCCAAGGCATTTTGGGACACTTTGGGCATTTCGGGGTCCCCAGCATCTAGATCTGGCCCCTTCCTGACAACATCTGGGGTGTTTTGGGGGTAGGGAAGGTGTTTTTGGGGGCCCTCAACATCTGGGGCCACAGCTGGATCGTCAAGAGCTCTGCAAAAGAGGGGTTGGGGGGAGCTTCAGGTGTTTGGGACCACCCAAAATCCCCCAATGATTCCAAAAATGACCCAAAGAACACCAGAAACCTCCAAAAATGCCCCAGGGACCCCAAAACCCCCACAGAGACCCCCAAAAACCTCCAAAAATGCCCCAGGGACCCCAAAACCCCCACAGAGACCCCCAAAATGCCCCCAAATTGCCCCAATGACCCCAACCCCTTCCCAGAACCCCCAAAATGACCCAAAACAGCCCCAAACTGTTCCAGAGACCCCCTAGAACTTCCACCGCCCCCAAATCCTCCTAAACCATCCCAGGACCCTCCCAAACACCCCAAATTCTCCAAGGAACCCCCCAAAAATCACCCAGAGACACCCAAGCTGCCTCCAGAGGACCCAAACCCTGGCCTGGGACTCCCCAGACTGCCCCCAAAAGACTCAAAACAAACCCAGGGACCCCCCAAAACTCTCCAAGCTGCGCCCAAATGACCCAAAATGCCACAAGGATCCCCCAAAACTGCACCCAAAAGGCCCAAAACCCCCCCGGGGACTCCCAATCCCCCCTCAGGAACCTCAGATTCTCTCACAGAACCCCCAAAGCCCCTCAGAGAGCCCAGATCTCCCTCAGGAACCCCAAATCCCCTCAGGAACCCCAAAGTTTCTCTTCGGAACCCCAAACTGCCAAACCAAGCCCCCAGACTTCGCTCAGGAAGCTCCAATCCCCGCCAGAGCCTCTCCCAGTCTCCCTCGGGAACTCCCCCAAACCGCCCCCGAGGCCCAAAGTCCTCCCCAAGGGCCGCTCCAGCCTCCGCTGAGACCCCCAGATCCCTCCAGGAAAGCCCAGATTCCCCGCGGAGCCCAGAGCCCCCCGAATTGCCCCAAATTTCCCTCAGGGCCCCCCAAAAGCGGCCCCGACCCCTCCCGCTCACCCCTCCCGCGGCATCCCCGCCGGGCCCCGCCCCCAGCGCTCCCATTGGCCTCTTCTTCCGCGCGCCAACGCCGGTCCGCGCTTCCTATTGGCTGCTGTGCGTGTCCATCATCGCCCGGCCACAGAGACGGGGCGGGGCGGTCCTCCGGGAGCGCCGGAGCGTCGCTGGGAGGGGCTGAAGTGAGGCCGTAGACCAATTGGAGAGCAGAGAGCTGGATTGACGACGAGATTGACCAATAGAAGGCTGGAAAGCGGGCGGCACCGACCAATGAGAGCCGCGGCTTTGTCCTATATGAGCGCGCGCGGGGCCGCGGCTGCCGCCATTTTCACCGCTGTCGCGCTCGCGCCTTTGCTCCGCTCTTAAAGGGGCCGCGCCGCCTCTTTAACGTTTTTTAATTCGGTTTTCCGAGCGCCTCCGCGCCGTCCGGGTGGGCCCGAACCGCCCCGCCAGACTCCGCCGCCATGAGGGAGATCGTCCACATCCAGGCGGGCCAATGCGGCAACCAGATCGGCGCCAAGGTGAGCGCGGCGGGCCCCGCCTCTCTCCGCTGCCGCGGCGGCGTGGCCCCTTTAAGAGCCCCCCCACCCCCGCGCGCCAAGACAAAGGGTGACCCAAAGCGGGGCTATTTTACCCCAGAATCGCCGCTTTCCCGCCGCAGAAGCGCCTGCGAGGGAGGGGGCGGTGATGGGTGGGGGGGATTTGGGGGGAAAATGCGGAGATTTTGTTGCCAAATGAGGATTTGCGGTGCCGAACGCGCGCCCCCCACACGCGGCCGCAAAATGGCGGCTCAGGGCGGCGGCCCCGGACCGCGGCCAATTCGCCTCCAAAATCGGCTTTTCTGGGGTGCTTTAAGGAAAAACCATTATTTTTTCCCGGTTTAAATGACTATTTCATAGGTTTGGCTATGAATGCGGCTTTTTGCCCCAAATCCAGAGGGTCTAGCCGAGGATGGGCGGGGAAGGCGCCAAAATGGCGCCGAAGAGTTCTGAAATTAAAGGATTTAACTCCAGAATTAAAATTTCCACGATAATATTTTTCATAATTAAAACATCATTTGTTTGTTTTTTTTTAAACTTCTTATTTTACATGCCCCTTTTTCAGACTGAACTCGGTTGTTTTCACCCCATAATTGCGTATTTTCGTCCTTAAAATCCGCTATTTTCACGGCAAAACCGTCCAATTTTACTTCAAAAAAATGTGGATTTTGTGCCCCAAAATGAAGATTTTTGACCCCCAAACGGGGCGTGACGCCCTGAGGGGTCAGACCTGAGAATGGGAGGATTCAACCCATAAAAAAGCGGCTTAATACCTACAATAAATGTTTTTAGTCCCTAAATAACAGGCGTGTTCCCTGTTTTTTCTAAAATGAGTTTTTAGGGGTTTTTTTTAATCCGCAAAGTGAAGATTTTTAAGCTTCACGATTTTATAACAAGAAAAGTTCTTTATCCTTTAAATGTGGATTTTGGGTCTTCAAATTGAAATAGTCATTCTTAAAATTAATGTTTTTCTTCCTTTGAATCAGCCTTCTTCTCTGAAATGCCGTTTTTACCCTTTAAAAGGGATTATTTTATTCTCAGAAAGCAAACTAAAATGTTAATTTTTTTATTTATGTGATTTTTTTTCATTGATTAGAGTTTTTTTCCTGCTGCTGAAATGCATCTTTTTGGCACCAAAACATTTTTTTTTTCCCAGCCCCAAAATGGAGCTTCGGAGCTCCAGCTCAGCATCTTTGTTTTACAAAATAACATTTCGCTCCAAAATCAAAATTTCTATCCCCAAAGTAGGGAGTTTTGAAGAGAAAAAGGGCTGGGTTGATTTTCTAGAAGCTGATTTTGGGTTAAAATCGGCATTTTCTCCAGCTCATGGGGAGTTCCAGCCCCAAAATGGAGGTTTCCAGCCCCAAAATGGAGGGTCGGGGAAAGAATCGCAGCTTTGTGCTTCCGAATATGCTTCTTTTTTTTTTTTTTTTACCTCAAAATACTGCTCTTTCTCCAAATTTAATGGGTTTTATTTAATTTACTTTTTTTTAAGCACAAAATGGTGATTTTTGCACCAAAAAGCATTGTTTAGGCCTCGGAATTTGCAATTGTTTGCAACTGTTTGTCATTTTTGCTGCTTCAAAAATCCCTTCTTTCCCCTGAATATATTCAGCCCCAAAATGGCTGCTTTTAGACTCATATTTAATTTTTTTTTCTTTATAGAATGCCTCTTTTTACCCTTTTCAGCTTCAAACCCGTCTCTTTGTGTCTGCAGACTGCATTTCCTGCCCCCTGAGTGAACATTTCCATTTTCAGCCCCATGCCGAAATCTTTGTTCTCCAGAACGCCTCAAATTTGAGTTTTTAACCCCAAAATGCGATTTTTTTTTAGCACTGAGAAGGAGGTTTTGAACCAAAATTCTGGTTTTGAGGTCCAAAAAAGATTTTTTTATTCTACAGAAAATATTGTTATTTAAAAGGTCAAATTTGCTCTCCAAAATTACAGTTTAGCCCCAAATCTGCATTTTTCCACCCCGAAATTTGCAACTTTTACCTTTAAATATTATATTCCCCCCATAATCCATATTCCTCTCACTAAACTCTCAATTTCAATCGCAAACCAACGGTTTTCCTCAAACTTTGTAGTTTTTAATCATGAGTTTCCCAAGGCTCCAAAATGCAGATTTTTTTTTACCCAAAAATACTGAGTATTCTGAATTAGATCTTTTAAACTAATTTTTCTTTTTAATTTGCCCAAAATACCCATTTTTACCCCAAATTAAATTTTTTTTGAGCCATTTTTTCCTACATTCCCCGAAACTGCTCTTTTTTAACGTATTTGTCTCATCACCCCCAAAATCACTTAATTTTTAGCCTATTTTCACTCTCAAACCCCCAAAATGCCCTTTCTCATCTCCTAAATCAGCCTTTTAAAGCCCATCTTTCTTTTATTTTTTAACTCACATTGTTGATTTCTAATGCACTTTTCTCTCTCATCTCCAAAAATAATGTTTTTAAGTCTCCAAAACTAATGTTTTTAAACCCTTTTTTCTTCTCTGGCCCTAAGTTGTGGGGTTTAAAATACATTTTTCCCTCATGCAAAAACTGCAATTTTTATTTAAAATCACCATTTTTTAGCTCTCTTTTTAAATTTAAAATCCAAAAATTACCAGTTTTAACCCAAATTAATATTTTAACTCAATTTTTCTCTCCACGTTCCAAAAATCCCCATTTTTGCCACATTCCTTGTATTTTACCCCAAAATTGCCCCTTTTTTCACTTCATTTATCCTCATGTTTTGTTCTCCCCCAGCCCATTTTAACCCCAAACCCCCACATTTGTAGAATCTTGCCTTCAAATGCAAAACTTGGAGCCCCCCAAGGTGAATTTGGGTATCAAAGTCCTGATTTGGGTGCAAAAAGTCGGTTTTGGAGGCGTTGGTTTGAATTTGAGCGTTTGCCGCCATTTCCCGCGTTCCCGCCCTTTTTAGGGAGCGGGGGCTGGCCTGGCCACGCCTCCAAACCACCAGAAAATCCTGAAAATCGCCTTTTTTCCCCCCAAAGAGGGCCCTGGAGTGGCTTTGGGTTGTAGCTGCACCCTTCTAGGACTTGACCACAGCCTAAATTTATTTTAAAATGTTATTTATTCCAAAATCCCCATTTTTCAAGCCAAAACTGGTCCTGGATGAGGGGGGAGCTCTTCTGGATCCCACGCCTCACTTGGCCACGCCGCCAAATTCATTTAAATCCCTAAATCCTTCAGTTTTTCCCCCAAAACACTGCCTAGGGGAGGTGGGTGTGGCCAGGTTTACATCTTAATCTTCCTATGAGGTACCAAAATCCCCTTTTTTAATCCCCAAAACAAATCCCAGTTGTCACAAAGTGGGCGTGGCCTGCCTCCCCCACCCCTTTAACCCAGACCATGCCCCCAGTTTCCTTTAAAATCCCAGTTTTTTTCTCTTAAAATCTGTATTTTTTTATGCTTCTCAACTGCCTTTTCCTGTCATACAATCCTAGTTTCTTATGCTAAAATTCCTGAATTTTTTTAGCCCCAAATCCTCATATTCTTCTATTAAATGAGGTCCCAGGTGTACCAAAGTGGGCAAGGCCCTGCCCTCATCTCTCCTTGAGCTCCACCCCCTTTAACCCCAGTCATGCATCCAAGAACCATTTCCCACCCTGAAATCCCCATTTTTAGCCCCAAAATCCCCCTTTTTTTGCCCCAAAACCCTGTTTTTTCCAAAATGACGTCTGAGGTGGATGTGGCCCACCTGACTGCATCCCCCTTAAGCCCCACTCCTTTGGCTTCTAGTCATGCCACCTTAAAGTACCCAAATTTTTTCCCCGAAATTGAATCTGGGGTGGGCACAGCCCAGCTGACCCCACCCCTCCTTATGCCCCACCTCTTTAACCCCCAGACTCCCATTTCTCACCTCAAAATCCCCATTGTTGCCCTTTAAATCGTAATTTTTTCTCCTCCAAATCCTCTTTTTTCCCCCAAACCAGGTCCCAGTTGTCACAAAGTGGGTGTGGCCCAGCTGGTCCCACCCCTTTAACTCTTGCTCACACCTCCAACTCCCCTTTTCCCCTTAAAATCCCCATTTTCCCTCCCAAAACCTCCTGTTTTTTTCTCTAAATCCCTGTTTTTTGCCCCAAACCCACTCCTGGGCTGTCCCTGAGCTGTCCCCAAGCTGTCCCCTTGTCCCCACAGTTCTGGGAGGTGATCAGTGATGAGCACGGCATCGACCCCACGGGCACCTACCATGGGGACAGCGACCTGCAGCTGGACCGCATCAGCGTCTACTACAACGAGGCCACAGGTGGGGACACCTGGGGACAGCTGGTGGCACTTGGGGACAGCTGCCACAGCCCCCCAGGGCTCCTCTGCCCTTCTTCCCCTCATTGTGTCACTCATTAGTGGTGGGTGGCACTTGGTGGCTTTTGTCATCTCCCCAGTGTCACTTGTCCCGTTGTCACGCCCCCAGTGTCACTTTACTTTGTCACCTCTTTGTGCAGTCACTTTGTCACTTACAGTGTCACCTCATCACTCCCACAGTGTTT